GTGAGCCGCTTTGGGTCCCCATGAGGTAGAAAACCGGGAGATAGATAATGTAAAATAATTATGATTCTTAAAAGATTTCAGCCCAAACGCGATGGTGACACAAAACCCAAAAATTGCAGCATTTCTCGAAACAGCTTTGTTTTCCTTTGGACAGCCGTGTGAGCCGCTTTGGGTCCCCATGAGGTAGAAAACCGGGAGATAGATAATGTAAAATAATTATGATTCTTAAAAGATTTCAGCCCAAACGCGATGGTGACACAAAACCCAAAAATTGCAGCATTTCTCGAAACAGCTTTGTTTTCCTTTGGACAGCCGCTCCGGCGAGGCTGCCAAGGAACGGCCCCACAAACCAGACGGCGGAGCAAGTCCACGCCTCCCAGACTGAGAACGGAGTCCTCCCACTGGTTTGGAGGTTGGCAAAGGCAACCTACTGGTTGCCCAACCAAGACTTAAAAAAACCCCCATCAATTATCCAGAACAGCTGGTCCAAAGACGGAGGCTAGGGTGCTGCAAGTCTGAAAACATCACATGGGAGGGGTGATTTAGCAACTGACTTCAGGCCATATACATGGAACGTAAATGGGGTGAGGAGGAAACATGTGGATTTTAAGTCTAAGACTTCCTTGTGTTTGCTGCTTGTGATCACAGGCACACTTCTGCTTCTATCTGCTTCTATCTACGTACATTAACAGAGCAGCCGTGCACAAAAGCCAACCTATTTCTCTCTTTCCTTCATTCCTACCCTGCTGTTCTCCCCAGTGGGGACCCAAAACACGTTACGTTGCTCTCCTTGGCTCCGTTCTCTCCTCACAACAACCCTGTGAGGTAGGCTAGGCTGACGAGCATGACTAGCCCAAGGTCACCCAGCCGGCTTCCACGGTAGAATGGGGATTCGAACCTGGGTCTTCTAGAACCTAGTCCAAGTCACTGCACAGTGCTAGCTCTCGTTCACATCTCCGTGTGCAAAAATACAGTTGTGCATCAGACACACTTCTCTCTCGTATATACTGAGACACAGGGCTATTTTCGGGCAGGAACGCACAGGAACGGAGTTCCAGCTGGCTCCTGAGTTGGCCACGCCCAGCAGGAACTCATTAGCATAATAGGCCACACCCAACAGCAGAAACTCATTAGGATTGGCTACATTAGGGGTGTGTGGCCTAACATGCAAAGGAGTTCCTGCTACAAAAAAAGGCCCTGGGTTTTGACCACAAACAAGGTAAACAGAATAAGAAGCAAAAGGTGGGTGTGGCAACATGAGGGTGTGGCCTAATATGCTAATGAATTTCTGTCATTGGGTGTGGCCTATTATGCTAATGAGTTCCTGCTTGGCTTTTTCAACAAAAAAAGCCCTGCTGAGACAGTTCTTGTATCACCCAAAGGCCACCTGAAACAGAGCAGCCCTGCACGCCCCACAGAACTGGGGGGGGGAGGCCCCGCAAGGCACACACCTCTTCAGGCGGCCGGTTCCACAGGGTGGGGGCCACGACTAAGAACATAAGGAGGGGAAGGACCTGGAATTTTGTGAAGCCCAAACACATCCAAGCACTAACCAGGGCCGACCTCGCAGGGCTTCCGAGATCGGGCTAGTCTGATAGCGAGGAAGGGGGGAAAAGGAGGAACTGTGTACGGATACCATAGGTACATGCACAAGTCCCTTACTACACTCACACACCCCTCTTTTACACACACACACACACACACACACAATGGGGATAATGAATATATTCATAATGGGAGAGAAGTCTGTGTGAACAGTAAGATTAAGAAGAAGAAAAAGAAGAAGAGATTGGATGTATACCCCGCCCTTCACTTGGGAGTCTCAGAGTGGCTTACAAACTCCTTTCTCTTCCCCTCCCCACAACAGACACCCTGTGACGTAGGCGGGGCTGAGAGAGCGCTGACAGAAACTGCTCTTTCAGGAACAGCTGTGCCAGAGCTTGTGACTGACCTAAGGTCACATCAGCAGGCGCAAGTGGAGGAGTGGGGAACCAAACCCAGTTCTCCCAGATTAGAGTCCGCGCACTTAACCACTACACCAAACTGGGTCTCCCAGGGAGAATGGGAGACAGGTGTCTGCATACACAAGTATAATAAAGGAGACATATCTAGAGCTGCCAACCTCCAAGTAGCACCTGGAGATCTTCCACTATTACAACTGACCTCCAGAGGACCAAGATCAGTTCCCTGGGAGAAAATGGCTACTTTGGAGGGTGGACTCTATGGTATTGTACCTCCCCCCCCCCCAACCCTGCTTTCCCAGGATTCATCCCTCAAATCTCCAGGTATTTCCGAAACCCAGAGCTGGAGCCTACAAATATGTCCACACATGGACCAGGACCACATATGGCCTGGAGATCTTCCACTATTACAACTGACCTCCAGAGGACCAAGATCAGTTCCCTGGGAGAAAATGGCTGCTTTGGAGGGTGGACTCTGTGTCATTGTACCCTCCCCCCCAACCCAGCTTTCCCACGATTCATCCCTAAAATCTCCAGGTATTTCCAAAACCCAGAGCTGGCCCCTACAAATATGTCCACATACGGTGACCAGGACCAGGGCATTTTCGGTGGCGGCTCCTACCTGGCGGAAGGAGCTCCCGGAAGAGATCCGGGCCCTGCGGGACCTTTCTCAGTTCCGCAGGGCCTGCAAGACAGAGCTCTTCCGCCAGGCCTTTAAGTAGGAGCCGCCGCCACCACTATTCCACCTCCGCCTCCTGTGCACTGCCGTATTACCGTCATGATTGTTTGATCCCTA